CGGTGCGCGCCCCTGTCCGCTCCCGGGGCCCCCCGCGCGCCTCCGATCGCGGGGGCGGGGTGCTCGGATGCATTGGCCAGGGCGCCGGATCGGGGTCAGCTGGGAGCGGGACTCCAGAGCGCGCTGGGAGACCTCGGGGACTCAGTCTCACGAAACCTCAGCTTTCTCATCGGTAGAACGGGAACCTGGTATCCCCTGACGGGGCCATGCACGATCACGCGAGGTGATCAGAGGAACTGACGTCTGTGGAAGGCGTCCTCTTCGCTAGGCACTAGATCTACCTGCCTTAGCCCGTGCATGAGAAGTGCCTGGCTAATGGGAGGCTTTCCGTAAAGGGTAGCATCTGTGATAATCACCCCCCAAACCGCCTTCACTTATTCATCCCACTAATCTTTATTGAGTGCACGCTCTGTACCAGAGCTGCACGTCTGTTTTCTCATTCCTGAAATGGAGGCAAAAAAGCATCGCCTCCACAAGTCTGTGGGAAGGGTCAGAGAAATTCACGTTGGTAAAACATTAGCTGCCCAGCAGGGGCTCAATAGACAGTAAGTAGTTCCTGAGCCTCAGGTTTGTCTTCTAAAAATAAGGATAATCAAATTCCACAGGGGTTTATGTGAAGCCAGTGGGATGATACCTGTCAAAGGTTTAGCCCCATACTTGGCATGAAACAGGTCTTGGGCAAATGGCCTCTATCAGGATGGGCAGTGTTCCCCTCCACACCCCCCCTCCACAGGCACACACTGCCCCCGCATTCATTCAGCAGGTTTATACTGGACATCTACTCTGTGCCAGTCCCTGCATCAGGTCCCAGGGACAGGGCTAGGAAATGCACAGATTATCAGAGCTGGAAGGGAACTTAGAGGTCATTTCACTCACACCTTTTCTTTACAGATGGGGAAACTGAGGTACAGAGCCATTCCCAAGATTGCACAGCAGAACTAGAACTTGATCCAGGCTCCTGCTGCCTAACCCCTCTCTCCTCCTGCCACACCCTGTTGTCTCTCTGGGATCTCCCGCACCTGCCCTAGACAGCCTACTCTGGCCAGACAGCAAGGAGGACTGTCTTCCACCCATACTCAGACCATGCTGGCAGCTCCAGGGGCATCGGCTTCCTTGGACCAGTAGGTCCCATCTGCTCGATGCTGTGGAGGTTGAAGCAGGGTCTCTGGAGGCCAGGATTCTCCCTCCCTCCACCACACTCTCTCTCCCCCTTCCCGAGCTCCCCCCTCTGCGGGTCTTTGTCACCGTGGCCCCATGGGGAATACCTACCATGCTTGTTCTTCTTCTGCTCCTCCTCTAGCCCAGGCACGCCAGGGATCCCCAGGAAAGTGTTGTGCGAGTTCCCATACCACACCAGCAGCTCCTGGTCCGGAGGGATCATCTGCAGGGAAGGAGGCACGAGGAGATCAGGGAGGCAGTGGCCGGGCGGCAAGAGTCAGGGGTCTCCTGGTCTCAGCCAGGAGATGTGGATCCACTCTCAGCTCTGAGAAAGCCACACTTGGGTTCATTTCCAGCGAGCCATCTCCAGCAAGCTGCATAGACACAGAAGGCCCAGGCCTTCTCGCCGTCTCTGTCCTAGCTCCAGTCACAAGAGAGCTTCCAAGCTGACAGCAACAGAATGGAATCCTGGGAACGAGGAAGGTGGAAAGCTAGGAAACTTTTCATTTCTCACCCAGGGGAACCAGAGTCGGCCAGCCCTCAGGGCTGCAGGGCTGAGTCAGATGTTCCCGAGGAGCGGAGCGTGGGCTGTGGGGCACCCTATGGTACCTGGTTACACCCTGCTGGATAATGTTCTGGAAACATCTCTTGTTCAACACACCCACAGGCAGCACTATGTCATGCGTACTTCCCTCCCCAGCGCAGAGCTCTGTGTGATTCTATGCACATGGCAGATGCTAAAAAAGAAACATTCCATTGACGAACACCTCCACCGCAGGGAATACTGGCGTACACAGCCTTAAACAAAATCAAAATCCATTTCGCCATGTCCTAGGTCTATGAGACCCCCCACACATGGTGACAGGGCTTTGCTTCTCACAGGGGAGGACCTGCCCCGTGGAAACGGGGACGGTGTCGATTGGAGGTTTTGCGGTGGCAATTCAGGGAAGCGTGGCAGGCCTGCTCCTGAGCCAGCACTGACCACAAACCCCCACACCCCCGGTCATCCCAGGGGCCCATCAGGCCTTTGGTGAAGGCCAGTTACTGCTCCCAAGGGAGAATCTTCAGGCCCCAGCCAGGTAGGGCAAATGAAAGAAGGGACAGCCCATCACCATCCTGAGGCCTGGCCCCAGAAGTGCTGGCTTTGGCACCTACCTCTGAGGGTCACTGTCTGATGTGCCCTGAGAAACCTGGACAGCCCCCAGCAACAGCTGGTTAGTTTTCCTGGTGGGCCGTCCTTCAGCTGAAGCACAGAACATCACATGGATTCCACCTAGGGGTGTGGGAGAGCACCCCAGAGTAGGACCCTCCCCCCAGCCTCCGTGCTCCCAAGGGAGAACCTTCAGGCCCCAGCCAGGTAGGGCAAATGAAAGAAGGGACAGCCCATCACCATCCTGAGGCCTGGCCCCAGAAGTGCTGGCTTTGGCACCTACCTCTGAGGGTCACTGTCTGATGTGCCTTGAGAAACCTGGACAGCCCCCAGCCACAGCTGGTTAGTTTTCCTGGTGGGCCGTCCTTCAGCTGAAGCACAGAACATCACATGGATTCCACCTAGGGGTGTTGGAGAGCACCCCAGAGTAGGACCCTCCTCCCGGCCTCCATGGTCACAGGGAAGGCCCCTCCCGTCCCATTTGGTGCTGGCCTGCGAGCCCTGCCTGTTCTTATCACCACGCCTTCCATCCTCTGCTCAGAGCCTGGAAGACCCTGAGACTGTCACAGTGAGCTCTGCTCGACCCTGAAAAGAAGAGAAGCTGGGAGAGGAGGGGTGGGAACGGGAAGGTACGAGGGACCCAGTGACTGCTGTCCTCCTGATACCCAGCCCCTTCCCACCTGACCCTATGGGCCACGGGCAGCAGGGCAAGCCTCAGGTCAGTGAGTGATGGGAAGCCAGCGGGAGAGTGCCATGCCAGCTCGGACTGATGGGGTTTGAATATGGAAAAGCAAGTGCAGTCCCTGACCCCGAGGGAAATCTGGCTGTGCCTCAGAGAAAGCGGGCAGATTGGAATCTGGCACTGCCACGAATGTCCTCGTGGCCTGTCTGGTCATTTAGTCATGGCCGCTGTCCAGGAGGCCAGCAGGTCAGAGCTGGAGATCCCTGCTGCAAAAGGGACAGAGAAGAGAGAGGTTGTATGAACTCCTCAGAAAAGCAGATGATGGAACTAAAATATTTAAGATAAATTAATGTGAAGGAAGCCGTTCCACGAGATGGTGCAGATAGGCCCTCTGTCCCCAGGGGTCTGTGTGTCCTTAGGCAAGTCACTCTTCCTCTCTAAATTTGTCTCCTCAAATGAGGGGGTCAGGGAACACCATCCTCGAGGTCCTCCCAACTGTACAATTCTTTTTTTTTTTTTTTTTCCTTTTTGTCTTTTTTACTGACCGGTAACGGGATCACAACCCTCGGTGTTGCGCCGCACCGCGCTCAGCCAGTGAGCGGGATCCGGTCTCCACATGGGATTCGAACCCTCGGCGGGAGCACCGCCACGTTCCCAAGCGGCACACTCTTCAGTGCACCACCGGGCCGGCCCCCAACTACCGCGCTCAGCCAGTGAGCGGGAACCGGTCTCCACATGGGATTCGAACCCTCGGCGGGAGCACCGCCACATTCCCAAGCGGCACACTCTTCAGTGCGCCACCGGGCCAGCCCCCAACCGTACAATTCTGATCGTAAGTCACCTCCAGCATTGTCCTGACCTCTGGCTTAAAGTCTCAGATGAAACGAAACGTTTATATGTTGCAGTTCTTCTAAAGCAACTCCCCCCCGCCCCCCAGACCATGTGCACATGCCCCGTCAGGAGACAGCACTGAAGAGGGCTCCGGCTCAGGCCTGGAGTCAGACGTGTTGGGGCGCACTGGAGCTCCCCATCTGCTGAGTGAGAGGCCTTGGGCGAGCTGCCTCATGTCATGAGGCCTCAGTTTCCTCCAGTGTAAAACAGGGGCAGGCACTTGGCTCTGGCCTCACTGAGTAGTTACTGGGATCCAGCTGGGCCGTGTGCATAAACTCTTTGTGCAGTCGAGCCACAGAAGTTCTGGTGTTTGTTTTCCACAAGCTCGCCAACCTCTCAGAGCAGCAGACATTGATTTCTGTTGTATCAAGTCCCTGCAGCAGTGGCCCACAGAGCCACTAGGCTGCTAGCATGGTTAAAGCTCAGGGTGACTTGGGGCTTTGCCTTCAGTGTAGGACAAGAGCCCCACGCCAGGACACCAGCCCCATGCCAGTGCCACCGCCGACTCCTCCAGCACAGATGTGGGAGGGACGGGAGGCAAGCCCTGACTGGTGTTGCCCCGAGCCACGTCTCTACCTCCAAACTCGCCCTCTGGGAATCCAACCCTAAGTCAACGCTGGCCTTTTCATTTTAATTGAAAATACCAACTATCATTAAATATAAAATAAATGTGATAATAATAATAATATAACGGTGATGATGAATGAGGATCAGAGCCAGCACATCTTGGATTATACAAGTCTTGAATATTACTACTCAAAATAATTATTTGGAATATTATTTTTTAAATAAGAGCTTCAATGGTAACTATTTCAGTATAAGGATGAGTCATTTATTTACTAACAAATTCTTGAAATGTACTAAAATTCATTTTACTAATTAATTTAAAAATTAAAACTGCCTCGTAGGCACATGGACTAAAAGGTATAAACATGTAACAGGGTATTTAATGAAAAGTAACTCTCTCTCCCACTCTGGATGCCGCTGTTGCTGGTTTTCTGTGTCTTTCCCCGGAAAGGTTTGTCATTTTGAGACTATTAAAAAATGCTGACTTAAGGTTCATGGGCAGCAGCAATATGGGCAGAGTGACTTCCACTTTCCACATGATGCATCTGATCTTTTAAAAAAATAATGACCACATATTACTTCTATACACACACAAAACGAAGCAAAAAAAATTTTTTTTTAGAAAGAAAATCTATTAAGAAGAACCTACTGGAATTGAGAGTGACACTTATCCCCTGACAGCTGGGCTACTAGTGGCGGGGGTGGCAGCCTCCCCTGAACAGAGCCAGGGGCTGGGAGTCGCTGTCAGCCCTTCAGAGCCCGGTGCCAGGACCTCGAGTCTCTGCCTGCTCCCAGGCACCTTTCCTCCAACAAACTCCTGTGATCAAGCCCAGGAGACCCGGGAACCTGCAGCTCCTTCCCTGAGATCCTGGAACTACTGTCTAGAGGCCCCCGAGGACCCCCCAGCTGACCACCTAAGTGCAAAGAACGGCCACGGTCCTCTCCAAGCCCCCTCACTAAGCATTGTTTCCTTACTGCCGACCCACCAGCCTGGCCCAGCCGGGGCTGTCACCAGAGAACCAGAGTCAGCGGCTTCTCTCTTTCCTGGGAAGCAGAGATCGGCCCAGGATATACAAAAAACAAAGCAATTTCCAGAAGAACTGAATCCCTTGCCGTAAAATCCACATCGCTAAAACTCTGCGGGAATATCAGTGCCTGAATCTTTTGTTGACAAATTACACGACCTCTCAACTCATGTTTTCTAACCTTTCCTATCGGCCCAGAAGTTTTGTCCTGCCCCGCTTTCTGANGGGGGGCGGGGGGAGGGGGAGAGAGAGCAGTCCCGTTAGAGCACGCGCCGCCGCACGCCCCCCACCCGGTGCGCGCCCCCGTCCGCTCCCGGGGCCCCCCGCGCGCCTCCGATCGCGGGGGCGGGGTGCTCGGATGCATTGGCCAGGGCGCCGGATCGGGGTCAGCTGGGAGCGGGACTCCAGAGCGCGCTGGGAGACCTCGGGGACTCAGTCTCACGAAACCTCAGCTTTCTCATCGGTAGAACGGGAACCTGGTATCCCCTGACGGGGCCATGCACGATCACGCGAGGTGATCAGAGGAACTGACGTCTGTGGAAGGCGTCCTCTTCGCTAGGCACTAGATCTACCTGCCTTAGCCCGTGCATGAGAAGTGCCTGGCTAATGGGAGGCTTTCCGTAAAGGGTAGCATCTGTGATAATCACCCCCCAAACCGCCTTCACTTATTCATCCCACTAATCTTTATTGAGTGCACGCTCTGTACCAGAGCTGCACGTCTGTTTTCTCATTCCTGAAATGGAGGCAAAAAAGCATCGCCTCCACAAGTCTGTGGGAAGGGTCAGAGAAATTCACGTTGGTAAAACATTAGCTGCCCAGCAGGGGCTCAATAGACAGTAAGTAGTTCCTGAGCCTCAGGTTTGTCTTCTAAAAATAAGGATAATCAAATTCCACAGGGGTTTATGTGAAGCCAGTGGGATGATACCTGTCAAAGGTTTAGCCCCATACTTGGCATGAAACAGGTCTTGGGCAAATGGCCTCTATCAGGATGGGCAGTGTTCCCCTCCACACCCCCCCTCCACAGGCACACACTGCCCCCGCATTCATTCAGCAGGTTTATACTGGACATCTACTCTGTGCCAGTCCCTGCATCAGGTCCCAGGGACAGGGCTAGGAAATGCACAGATTATCAGAGCTGGAAGGGAACTTAGAGGTCATTTCACTCACACCTTTTCTTTACAGATGGGGAAACTGAGGTACAGAGCCATTCCCAAGATTGCACAGCAGAACTAGAACTTGATCCAGGCTCCTGCTGCCTAACCCCTCTCTCCTCCTGCCACACCCTGTTGTCTCTCTGGGATCTCCCGCACCTGCCCTAGACAGCCTACTCTGGCCAGACAGCAAGGAGGACTGTCTTCCACCCATACTCAGACCATGCTGGCAGCTCCAGGGGCATCGGCTTCCTTGGACCAGTAGGTCCCATCTGCTCGATGCTGTGGAGGTTGAAGCAGGGTCTCTGGAGGCCAGGATTCTCCCTCCCTCCACCACACTCTCTCTCCCCCTTCCCGAGCTCCCCCCTCTGCGGGTCTTTTGTCACCGTGGCCCCATGGGGAATACCTACCATGCTTGTTCTTCTTCTGCTCCTCCTCTAGCCCAGGCACGCCAGGGATCCCCAGGAAAGTGTTGTGCGAGTTCCCATACCACACCAGCAGCTCCTGGTCCGGAGGGATCATCTGCAGGGAAGGAGGCACGAGGAGATCAGGGAGGCAGTGGCCGGGCGGCAAGAGTCAGGGGTCTCCTGGTCTCAGCCAGGAGATGTGGATCCACTCTCAGCTCTGAGAAAGCCACACTTGGGTTCATTTCCAGCGAGCCATCTCCAGCAAGCTGCATAGACACAGAAGGCCCAGGCCTTCTCGCCGTCTCTGTCCTAGCTCCAGTCACAAGAGAGCTTCCAAGCTGACAGCAACAGAATGGAATCCTGGGAACGAGGAAGGTGGAAAGCTAGGAAACTTTTCATTTCTCACCCAGGGGAACCAGAGTCGGCCAGCCCTCAGGGCTGCAGGGCTGAGTCAGATGTTCCCGAGGAGCGGAGCGTGGGCTGTGGGGCACCCTATGGTACCTGGTTACACCCTGCTGGATAATGTTCTGGAAACATCTCTTGTTCAACACACCCACAGGCAGCACTATGTCATGCGTACTTCCCTCCCCAGCGCAGAGCTCTGTGTGATTCTATGCACATGGCAGATGCTAAAAAAGAAACATTCCATTGACGAACACCTCCACCGCAGGGAATACTGGCGTACACAGCCTTAAACAAAATCAAAATCCATTTCGCCATGTCCTAGGTCTATGAGACCCCCCACACATGGTGACAGGGCTTTGCTTCTCACAGGGGAGGACCTGCCCCGTGGAAACGGGGACGGTGTCGATTGGAGGTTTTGCGGTGGCAATTCAGGGAAGCGTGGCAGGCCTGCTCCTGAGCCAGCACTGACCACAAACCCCCACACCCCCGGTCATCCCAGGGGCCCATCAGGCCTTTGGTGAAGGCCAGTTACTGCTCCCAAGGGAGAACCTTCAGGCCCCAGCCAGGTAGGGCAAATGAAAGAAGGGACAGCCCATCACCATCCTGAGGCCTGGCCCCAGAAGTGCTGGCTTTGGCACCTACCTCTGAGGGTCACTGTCTGATGTGCCCTGAGAAACCTGGACAGCCCCCAGCAACAGCTGGTTAGTTTTCCTGGTGGGCCGTCCTTCAGCTGAAGCACAGAACATCACATGGATTCCACCTAGGGGTGTGGGAGAGCACCCCAGAGTAGGACCCTCCCCCCAGCCTCCGTGGTCACAGGGAAGGCCCCTCCCGTCCCATTTGGTGCTGGCCTGCGAGCCCTGCCTGTTCTTATCACCACGCCTTCCATCCTCTGCTCAGAGCCTGGAAGACCCTGAGACTGTCACAGTGAGCTCTGCTCGACCCTGAAAAGAAGAGAAGCTGGGAGAGGAGGGGTGGGAACGGGAAGGTACGAGGGACCCAGTGACTGCTGTCCTCCTGATACCCAGCCCCTTCCCACCTGACCCTATGGGCCACGGGCAGCAGGGCAAGCCTCAGGTCAGTGAGTGATGGGAAGCCAGCGGGAGAGTGCCATGCCAGCTCGGACTGATGGGGTTTGAATATGGAAAAGCAAGTGCAGTCCCTGACCCCGAGGGAAATCTGGCTGTGCCTCAGAGAAAGCGGGCAGATTGGAATCTGGCACTGCCACGAATGTCCTCGTGGCCTGTCTGGTCATTTAGTCATGGCCGCTGTCCAGGAGGCCAGCAGGTCAGAGCTGGAGATCCCTGCTGCAAAAGGGACAGAGAAGAGAGAGGTTGTATGAACTCCTCAGAAAAGCAGATGATGGAACTAAAATATTTAAGATAAATTAATGTGAAGGAAGCCGTTCCACGAGATGGTGCAGATAGGCCCTCTGTCCCCAGGGGTCTGTGTGTCCTTAGGCAAGTCACTCTTCCTCTCTAAATTTGTCTCCTCAAATGAGGGGGTCAGGGTACACCATCCTCGAGGTCCTCCCAACTGTACAATTCTTTTTTTTTTTTTTTTCCTTTTTGTCTTTTTTACTGACCGGTAACGGGATCACAACCCTCGGTGTTGCGCCGCACCGCGCTCAGCCAGTGAGCGGGAACCGGTCTCCACATGGGATTCGAACCCTCGGCGGGAGCACCGCCACATTCCCAAGCGGCACACTCTTCAGTGCGCCACCGGGCCAGCCCCCAACCGTACAATTCTGATCGTAAGTCACCTCCAGCATTGTCCTGACCTCTGGCTTAAAGTCTCAGATGAAACGAAACGTTTATATGTTGCAGTTCTTCTAAAGCAACTCCCCCCCGCCCCCCAGACCATGTGCACATGCCCCGTCAGGAGACAGCACTGAAGAGGGCTCCGGCTCAGGCCTGGAGTCAGACGTGTTGGGGCGCACTGGAGCTCCCCATCTGCTGAGTGAGAGGCCTTGGGCGAGCTGCCTCATGTCATGAGGCCTCAGTTTCCTCCAGTGTAAAACAGGGGCAGGCACTTGGCTCTGGCCTCACTGAGTAGTTACTGGGATCCAGCTGGGCCGCGTGCATAAACTCTTTGTGCAGTCGAGCCACAGAAGTTCTGGTGTTTGTTTTCCACAAGCTCGCCAACCTCTCAGAGCAGCAGACATTGATTTCTGTTGTATCAAGTCCCTGCAGCAGTGGCCCACAGAGCCACTAGGCTGCTAGCATGGTTAAAGCTCAGGGTGACTTGGGGCTTTGCCTTCAGTGTAGGACAAGAGCCCCACGCCAGGACACCAGCCCCATGCCAGTGCCACCGCCGACTCCTCCAGCACAGATGTGGGAGGGACGGGAGGCAAGCCCTGACTGGTGTTGCCCCGAGCCACGTCTCTACCTCCAAACTCGCCCTCTGGGAATCCAACCCTAAGTCAACGCTGGCCTTTTCATTTTAATTGAAAATACCAACTATCATTAAATATAAAATAAATGTGATAATAATAATAATATAACGGTGATGATGAATGAGGATCAGAGCCAGCACATCTTGGATTATACAAGTCTTGAATATTACTACTCAAAATAATTATTTGGAATATTATTTTTTAAATAAGAGCTTCAATGGTAACTATTTCAGTATAAGGATGAGTCATTTATTTACTAACAAATTCTTGAAATGTACTAAAATTCATTTTACTAATTAATTTAAAAATTAAAACTGCCTCGTAGGCACATGGACTAAAAGGTATAAACATGTAACAGGGTATTTAATGAAAAGTAACTCTCTCTCCCACTCTGGATGCCGCTGTTGCTGGTTTTCTGTGTCTTTCCCCGGAAAGGTTTGTCATTTTGAGACTATTAAAAAATGCTGACTTAAGGTTCATGGGCAGCAGCAATATGGGCAGAGTGACTTCCACTTTCCACATGATGCATCTGATCTTTTAAAAAAATAATGACCACATATTACTTCTATACACACACAAAACGAAGCAAAAAAAATTTTTTTTTAGAAAGAAAATCTATTAAGAAGAACCTACTGGAATTGAGAGTGACACTTATCCCCTGACAGCTGGGCTACTAGTGGCGGGGGTGGCAGCCTCCCCTGAACAGAGCCAGGGGCTGGGAGTCGCTGTCAGCCCTTCAGAGCCCGGTGCCAGGACCTCGAGTCTCTGCCTGCTCCCAGGCACCTTTCCTCCAACAAACTCCTGTGATCAAGCCCAGGAGACCCAGGAACCTGCAGCTCCTTCCCTGAGATCCTGGAACTACTGTCTAGAGGCCCCTGAGGACCCCCCCAGCTGACCACCTAAGTGCAAAGAACGGCCACGGTCCTCTCCAAGCCCCCTCACTAAGCATTGTTTCCTTACTGCCGACCCACCAGCCTGGCCCAGCCGGGGCTGTCACCAGAGAACCAGAGTCAGCGGCTTCTCTCTTTCCTGGGAAGCAGAGATCGGCCCAGGATATACAAAAAACAAAGCAATTTCCAGAAGAACTGAGTCCCTTGCCGTAAAATCCACGTCGCTAAAACTCTGCGGGAATATCAGTGCCTGAATCTTTTGTTGACAAATTACACGACCTCTCAACTCATGTTTTCTAACCTTTCCTATCGGCCCAGAAGTTTTGTCCTGCCCCGCTTTCTGAATTTTTCTTAAAAATTGGAAATGATGGGGGTTTTGGTTTGTTTTCCTAATATAAATTCATGTCACACCATTGACCATGTTCCCAGGAGGCTCTGGTCCCCTCCTCTTCCCCGCGTGGCGCAGAAGCCCTGGCGTAGCAGGATCTCAATGTCATCTGGACGAACATCAATTTCCATTGTACCACAGATGTCCCGACACACCAATTAATAGAGTTCCAGCAAATAGATATTGGCCAGGGAGGCCACACGGCATGGTGATAAAGCCCTCCAGCTCTGGGGTCAGACAGGCCTGGGTTCAAATCACAGCCCCACAACTTCCCATCATCTCCCTGAACTTAGTTTTATCAGCATTAAAACGGGGATATTAACAAAGAGGACCTCACAGGGCCAAGCGGGTTCTATTTTTTTAAAAGTTGTTATGATCCTTTAGAGAGGCACTTGGTAAATTCTCCACCTATGGTCACATTATTACTGATAATTATTATTAATAATTAGAGCACCTTAACTGCACCCACTGATGAACAAGGTCCAAAGAGAAATGAAGCTTGTCCTTATAGAGTCAAGAAAAGAGAGAGATGTGGCTACAGAGCTCTAGGGAAAAATAAAATCTCAGCTGCCCGAAGCAAGAAGGAAAACGGCAGAATGAAAAAGCCCACATTCTAGGGAGCAATAATTTGCCAAAAAAACAGGAAGGGAAAGACAGAATTTTCTTCCCAATTACAAAGTTTTAATAACTTATCCCAAAGTTCTCTCCTTGTACCAACTTCAGGAGTCTGACAAAATCTTGCCTCCAAGGCAACCAGTTTTGTTTCCCTGGAAGAACTGGGTCCCTGTGCATTCCCCATTCAACTCAGCCCCCATCACCTGCAGAAAGACTTTTATTCATGCAACATTCGGTGTCCACTTGCTATGTACTGGGTATGTTCTAGAAATGTCATTTTAGGCACCTGAGGTCATAGTAAATTCTTCTTGACTGAAGTAAGCTGGGGTTGCCCCAGAGGTAACATTTCAGTAGATCCAGCCGGATGCAAAAACCGCCTGGGGATTCTCCCCTGACTGCCTGGCCTCTGAAACTCCATTGCCTTTGGCTCTGTTTGGAGGGCTGTTGTTTGGTATTTGTGGAAAATTTCAGAGCTGCAATAGTATATTCTGCTTATGAAATAAAGATGATCCTTCCCATTTTTTTGGCAAGTAATGGGTTACTGTGATGAAATATAAATAGCAGCTCTGAGTGGCAAAAAGTAAGAAAACAGATCACGGCAAAGGTCCCTGTCCTTGACTAACTCTCGCACACAAACAGAACAGCAGCCGATTTATTCCGGAGACGACCGGGGAGTGGCCCCGGCAAACAGCAGTACCTCCTGATCTAGCCCAGAGGGCCGAGCGAGCTCAGCCTGCGCCCTGCCACGAGGTGCTCACACACACCCGGACACACGATATATCTGGTAAGTGGAATCTGACATTGTGAGAAAATGGTCTGAGAAAATTGCCACCACGAAAAATGTGCCCAACATCCTTACTGAAAGTAACCGAGTGGTATTTCGTATTTTTGTCCCTTACTCAGACAGTCCCTTCTTAGTAGGCTTGCTGATGCTAAAGCATCAACAGCCAAATGGGTGGTATCTATCTATCCATATCATATATATCATAAAAATGATATTATATGTATTATATATATATGAGGGTACTTTAAAAAGTTCTTGGAAAAATAGAATGAAAAGATAATGCAATTTACTCCATGAACTTTTTGAAGTACACTCGTATATCCTGATCCTCTTTTATCTATTTAAATTCCTGACCAAATGTGGACAACCTTTTTAAAAAAAAAAAAATCATATAAACTCAGATCCCTCCTAGAAATATTCTTCAGCCACCTTGCCTTCTGACTCTGAATTTCTGTATAAACATCTATCAATGCTTCCTGACTGTTCGGCTTTCAGCCAGTGTGTCCTGCATGGCAAGATGAGAGACTCGGGTCCCCACATTCACCCCAGCCAGGAGGCCTCTTGCCCAAATGACATAGGCATTCCTGCCTGTCTGGTGTGTTCAAATGCATGTGAGTGTGCATGTGTTCACGTGCATGGGTGTGTGTTTGCATGTACGTGCATGGGGGATGGGATGAGTGTGTGCCCTCCTTCATATCTACATCGGGATGGCTGGGAAGGAATGTGACTGTGATGATCTGTGGGGGGCGCGAAAGAGGGGGTGAGGGGGTGAAAACCCAGGAGGGAGCTCTCTGCTAGAAGTGAGGTTCAGCTGCACTGGAAGCCAGTTCTAGGAGGTGTTGGCCCAGCCGGTGGTAACAGGAGCCACCTCTGTCCCGGGCCTAGGCCACCATCAGTCCTACCCTCACACTGCCTCATGGCCGTACCACCTCACTGGAACCCATCAAGGAACTGCTCACCTTTCCTTACCCTCTGCTTCCCGGTCCTCCAGGGACCACCCCTCAGCTAGAACTCAGGCAAAGGCCATCCTGGTGTCATCCCTGGGAGATTCCCTGGGGCCTGGTTATTTAGGGACAACCAGACCCCAGTCCCGTAAGCTACTAGGCCTGTCTGCCCCTGGGGGTCTTAGAAAGAGCTTGAGGCTCTGAGTTCCAGGGAGAAAATGGAGCAAGGACTAAGGGAAGGCATTCTCTGGCCCTGAGGGGGCTCTTCCAGACTACCCCAAAAACCTAACCACACCTCAGCCCCACCCCATAGCCCCTGCCTGTGCCTTTCCCTGGGGAAGCAGAGAGGTGTTCTGGAAGCATGTACCGCCCCCTGCACTATGCTCTCCAACAACCTGACCCTGGGAGTCAGAGCAGTTTCCCCCACTCCTGGGCCAGAAGTGGATCCAAATTTCCTGCCAAGGACACTGTTGAGGGACAGTGGGGCCCTCCTTGGCTATATCACCTGCTTCTTTGCACCATCAGCTGCTGCCCAAGCATCTCCCTGCCAGGACACCTCCTTTTCCCATCCACCTCCTGAACCCTCCCAGGCCCTGGCCCTGGCTCAGCCTTGAGCCCCCTGGAAGCTCCCCACACACTGTGGAATGTGCTATTTACCTGTCGGCTGTCTCGCCCTTTCTCCCTCCTCTGAGATGGCTCACAAGACACAGCCATTAGTGCTAACACTCCCCCCAAAGGCCCTGCAAGAGCTCTGGGCCTGCCTGCCACCAAGGGAGACCCAGTTTTCTTGTTTGTAAACTGGAGATAATCGTAGAATCCTCCTAGTGGAGTTGCATTAGGATTAAATTGAATAATTAAATATACAGCATCTGGGAGAATCTTGAGACACAGTGAGCTATCACTGAGACTAGTGTCGTGATCCATATGTCATCGGTGCCCCATGCATGCAGAATGAGGGGCAATGCACAGATAAGCCTCTGCAGACACACGCTCTCCCTCCCAAGTGCATACCCTGGGCTGCCTTTTGCATCTTACTTTCTGTATTTCTATGACTTCTGAACCCCAGGACACCCTCAGCCGATATCCAGGGACCTCATTATTGAGATGCTCATGACATTCATAATGGCATAAAGTTGGAAGTTCCATCCTTTCTGATCTGTGCAAAAAGCTGCCCATGGAGGCCATGTTCCTGAAGGCCACGATATATGGGCGGGGCCGGCTGGGCCAGTGCCAATTCCCCTTTGTCCACTGCGGCCCCTGGACACAGTTGCCCCACAACCTCCCACACCAGGTGCCCCCGCCCCCATCCCTGCACAACAGTACACGCACATACCTCGATGGCCTTGTAGAAGACGCTGGTGCCTATCTGGACCACCTCCAGATTCTGCTCCTGCTCATTGCGTGCACACTTGATGTAAGTCATCCAGCTCCGGTGGTCCTCCTGGCTGGCATCAATAAAGTAACGGACTGTGCCATCCTCATTGAAGACCTGGACACAGGTGGAGCGGGGACCAGGTGAGGCAGGGCTGGGCCCCATGCCAGGCTTATGCACACACAATCTCCATCCTCACAACAGTCCAGAAGAGGATTCAGCTATTATCAGCTGTTTTCCAGTTGAAGAAAGGGAGACTCCAGCAGTACAGTGACTTGCCTGAGGCTAGCCAGCTAGAAGTGGCCAGCAGGGGTTGTTCTTCAAGGCCCCGTGGGTTGACCACGACATGCTCCTCCCGCATGTCCTCCCCACCCCCAGAAGAAAAGGGGCTCCAAGGGATCGCTGACCAGACAAAGCGGCCTCCAGCTACCTTTCCTAGGGGATGCAGAGATGCTCCCCAGAGCAGTGGGGGCACCAGCAGGACCTTGGGGGGGGGCATGGAGCCTACAGAGGAAAGGCTGGCTCACTGTGGCACTTAAGTCCCTTTGTGGGAGCTGCCATGGGCCTCGGAGGTCAAACTGGACCCCAACTGCCTGATCCAGCAACAACTGGAGAAGGTAACGACTGGCCCAGGCCTCCGGGGAAGGGAGAAGTGAGGTTAAGAGAGACCTCTAGGCCAGCCCCCTGTTCCCTTCCTCCTGCTCCTGTGACCAGCTGCAGGATTTGTCATATTGGGCTCCTCCAGGATCTGCCAAGTGGGAACTATGGGCATGGGGGGGCAAGGGGGTGGGGGGGAGGAGCAGCCCAGGAGGGTGGGGATATGAGATTAGGACGGGAGTGCACCAGCCTGGCCTCCGTGGGCTTTTGGTCCTGCAAGGTGAGAGCCCCAGGAGCTGAAGGCACTGCAGCAGTGACCTAGTCCTGCAGGTGGCCCTCCCTGGCATCTGGCAGTGCATGGGTGGTTGGGGGCCAGAAGGCCTGGGATGGAAGTCTCTCCGAACCTTGGTTACCGTCTGTAAAATGGTCATAATAACTCAGGACTGGTGAGAGAATCCTGTGGATTGCGAGCTGGGGACTCAGAAATCTGAGTCAATGCGATGACCATTTCGAATGTCATTCTCCCTGGCATTGGGAGGTGATTGCCAAGAAGCACAGGCCTCCACCATTTTCCATTCTGGCCACACCTCACCCCCAGCCCAGGGCAGGCCTTCAGGGGCTTTGCTTGCTACTCCTCACCCAGGGAAAGCACGCAGGTGCGGGGCTGGCCGGTTAGCTCGCTTGGTTAGAGCCGGGTGCTGGTAACACTAAGGTTAAAGGTTCGGATCCCCTTACTGGCTACCTCCTTCCCCCCTGCAGGTGGCTGGAGAGGTGGCTCCCACATCGGGACCCCGGGCAAGCGACGCGGCCTCTCTGGGTCTCACGCCTCATCTGTGAAGTGGAGTCAGCAACAGCTGTGATCTCTGGAATTGGCCGGAGGAATGAGAGTCTAATTTTTCTCAACGACCACACGGTTTGCAGAGAAGTGGGGAGCGCTCGAGAGCGCCAGGCGCCTGGCGGCGCAGGGTTCCGCCGTAGGGGGCGTCAGGCAGGCCCGGGAGCGTCTGCGGCTCCTAGCGAGGACGGAATCCGCGGCCGGGCTCCAGGGTCCCACCCCCGTCCCCGGGGCCGGCGGCCTGCGCCCCTCGCCCCTCGCCCCCAGCCCGCGCGTACCTCCCACATGAGGTTGTTATTCTTGCAGATGTCCACGTGCTCTGGGGCGATGACGCGGCCGGTGAAAGGGCCCATCTCGGTGCCCGCCTTGATCCATGTCTTGGAGAAGATCCCGAGGCCCTC